AATCACTGTATTCTAACTATGATCTGTGTGATTAGAGCATTGGGGCAGATCAACGTAACCTGTTCATTTATCTGTTATGTATTGGGGTGTTATGCAGTCCACCTTACATCAGACGGCAGCATAGTGAATTTATGCACTTTTTTCCTGTTTGTGTTAGTGTCTCTGAAGTAAAGGAGAAGTCCTATTTTCACTACTTGTCTGCGAGCCACTTTATAAATATATAACATTCAAATACACAAAACTAGTGACGAGGAAGGGATATCAGTATATTGACACTTCAGAATATATATAAAGGAAATAAAATCAGTCTGAGTGAGAAGAAAAAAAACGTTTTTTTTTTAATTCTTTGATCTACAAATATATCCAGCATGGTTTCTCTGGGAGGAATTGGAGGAATTAGATCTGGCTAATCCATGGGACTCATATGCTGACAAGTTAAGGTTTTTCCTGGAAGCAAATAAGGTGGTTGATGCTATTCAGAAGAGAGCTGTGTTACTGAGTGTTATTGGATCTAAGATTTTTGATACTGTCCGCTCACTGATATCTGCTGCTAAACCAAAAGACTGCTCATTTGAAGAAATACTGGCACTGTTAAAAAATCATTTAGCACCCACCCCATCTGAAACAGTGAGGCATTTCCATTTCAATAGACGAAATCAGAAACCAGGTGAAAGCATTGCAGCATATATTGCAGAACTGAGCAGGCTGTCTGAAAATTGCAATTTTGGTACCAGTTTAGAATCCTTGTTAAGGGACAGGCTTGTGTGTGGGGTGCAAGATGAAGCACTGCAGAGGAGACTGCTTGCAAGACAAAATGTAACTTTTATTATTGCGCAAGAGGAAGCGCTCGCAAATGAGGCTGCATATGTCCATTCAAAAGAGATACAATCCTCCTCCAGCAAAGAGAACTCACCTGAAATAAATCTAGTGAAGAAGACTGATGTTAAATCAAAGGCCTTTTCACAGCGCATTGATGTCACAGCTCCATTTAAAGCAAGCATGTCAAACTTGCGGCCCGGCGAGCCGCGAGTGCATGCTTAGTGTTATAGCAGAGTAGGCACCTGCTTTCTCCATTTTGCAGGTGCCTACTCTGCTAAAACTTACCCAGCTGGGGAGGAAGGGACGGTGGAAGCAGCAAGGGAGCTCAGTGTTCCAGCTCCTCACTGCTCGTGCACACCGACTGAAGTGAAGCCGGGGCGCCGGAATATGACGTCATATTCCTGCACCCAGCATCACTAAAACGCGTGCGGGAGCAGTGAGGAGCTGGAAGGACCCCAGTGAGATGCCCCCATCGGCTCCATAAGGTAAGGAGCAATAATGAAAAGTGTGTGTGTGTCTGTCTGTCAGTATGTGTGTGTGTCTGTCAGTGAGTATGTATGTGTGTCTGTCAGTGAGTATGTGTGTGTCTGTCCGTATCTGTCAGTGTGTGTGTGTGTGTGTGTCTGTCAGTGTGTGTGTGTCTGTCTGTCTGTGAGTGTGTGTGTTTGTCAGTGTGTGTGTTTGTCTGTGAGTATGTGTGTGTGTATGTGTGCGGCCCACATAAACGTAAACCTTGTTTATGTGGCCCGTGCCACACTTTGAGTTTGACATGCTTGATTTAAAGGAACTGGTTATAGTTGTGGTGGAAAACACAGGCGTAATACATGTCATTTTCGAAATGCAGTTTGCCACTCATGTAAACGTACAGGTCACATTCAGACGGTTTGCCAAAGACAATCCAGTGGAGTACAAACTCAATATAAGAATGCAAATACAATACCAACCGCAGCACACTCTGTTAATACTCCACATGCCATCTCAGATACTGGAATGACTACTGGTGTTAGCTCAAATGACTATGTGAATAAAGTGGAAAATTTGCCATCAGGACTGAAGATTTACACCGAGATTGTGCTGCAAGATGTTCCGTGCAAAATGGAAGTAGATTCCGGGTGCGCATATTCTTTGATTTCAGAAGAGACATTTACCTTGTTATGGCCTCATAATGGTCCTTCAGTAGTACCTTGTGATATTCATCTGGTGTACTACAACAAACAGGCTGTGGATGTTAAAGGGGCTTGTTTTATACCAGTAAAATATGGTAAATTCAGAGGACACATACGTTTAATAATTACTAAGGGACAAAGAGCAAATTTGCTAGGTAGAGAGTGGTTTGAACCCTTAGAATTTCATTAACTGGAGTTAATAATGCATCCACAGATATTCTACAGAATGTGATTGATAAATTTAGTGCAGTTTTTGAAGAAGGTCTTGGCATGCTTAAAGACCCTCCTGTTTCTTTTGCATTAGATTCAACAGTACCCCCAATTCATATAAAGCCACGCAGAGTTGCATTAGCTCTCAGACCAAAAATAGATGCTGAGATTACACGTCTTGTGGAACAAGGTATACTTGAACCCGTAACACACCCTAAGTGGTGTACACCCATAGTTCCGGTGATGAATCCAAATGGTGATGTCAGAATCTGTGCTGACTACAAATGTACAATCAACAAAGCATTGCAAGAGCATCCCTATCAAATTCCAGCTGTTAATCAAATATTACTACCTTGGCAAAAGGAAAAGTATTTGCCAAGTTGGAAATGGTTCAAGCCTACCAGCAGTTACCTGTGGATGATAAGGCTGCTGATGCACAAACGAGAATAACACACAAAGGAGCTTTCCGAGCAAGACGGTTGCAGTTTGGAGTTTCCATTGCTCTTGGCATATTCCAGAATTTAATGAAGGACATCTTAACTGGACTTCCAGGTGTAGTGTCTTATTTTGATGATGTTCTTATTGGAGCAAAGTGTATACAGTCTTTGGCTGCACAGTTACAACTTTTTTGCTATGTTTTCTTGCTGGTCTAAAACAAAAAAGAAAAGTGTTTGTACCCAACTGGGTACCTCTGCCAATCGTGCTTCCTAGTTGACGCTGAGTACCATAAGCACCACACTGGACACCATAAGCACCGTAGTCCCTTTAGCCACCACAGCTTGGCTAGGGTGTCGCCGTCCCTTCCCACCCTGGACCAACACCTGGATCCAGCTCCCAGTGGGAAGACCTTTCCTCCAAGAGAGTATAGCCAGTATAGCAAGTGATTATAGCCCTATGTTCCCCCCACACATGAGCAGAGGCTTAATGCTGGAGAGTAGTCTGTTTATTCCAGCCAAATGGCTCATTTATATACAGAATCTGAGCACAGTGACACACCCCCAAACACACCCATAAACATACCCACAATGTGCCACAAAATACAGTGTCACTGTGACTCCGCATAAAATGTAAAATATTAAAAACACATAAAAAATACATATTTCCCACATAGGAACCCCCACAGTCTATACATCCCCGGATAGCCTGGATCTGAGCGCCCAACATATCCGAAAAGTGCTCAGATCCCATGAACACAGTCGAATCGCCACCTGGGTAAATTTCTTACCGACCGCATACATGGTCCTACGCCCAAAACAGTTCCATGAATTCAGGGGTTGCGGCCGGTCCCGTTCGGGAGTTGCATGCGACCTAAATACAGAACATAATCGATAAGTAGAACGTGGAGCTTGTTCAACTTATTCGAACGATTCCACCAAACAGCGCTCTTCCAAGATGTAAAGTACCAAACGCAGGTGGGATGGAAGTTCAGTGGTGTTTGCGAGGTCGAGTGTCCGATTTTGGTTCCATGCACTCGACGACCAAACACTGCTGCCTGCATTTGCAGGAAAAAGATAGCCGCCACCCAGATGCACACTTAGAATACTGCTGGCAGAAGGTGACAATAATGGTTAACAAGCTCCCGGGTGGTCTTTAGTTCATGGATCTGTTTGGTTTCCGAACAGCACAGGGAACCTAACGAACAGAGTCTTTTAAAATGTATTTTGCTGTTCTTTTTGCAGGGCCCATAGTCCTGGGGCAAGAGGCTGACAGGCAGGCTTCTCCAGGAGTCCGTGGTGAGGTTATATTCGTCACAGTGTGTTTTTGGTGTAAGCAGCGGGTATTTCCTTGGTTACAGAGTTGACGCACATGGTATTCTTCCAACTGATTCTAAGGTTGAAGCTATCATAGAGCTCCAGTTCTAACAAACAAACAAGAACTAGCAGCATTCCCAGGGTTGCTTAATTTTTACTATTCTTTCCTGCCTGACAAAGCCACTGTTGCTGAACCTCTGCATCTTCTACTAGATAAAGATGCTCCGTGGAGGTGGACTGACGTTCATATTACCGCTTTCAGTGCTGCAAAAAAACTGTTGTCCTCTGACAGTGTACTACACTATGATTTAGAGAAACTGATAAACCTCACCTGCGATGCTTCTCCACAATGGCATAGGGGCTGTATTGAGTTACACTGTGAGAAATGATGTTGAGGCTCCTATTGCGTTTTATTCACAGACTTTATCTACTACAGAGAGAAATTATGCCCAAATTGACAAGGAGGCTTTAGCTATTGTGTCCGGTGTAAAAATGTTTCATGACTATTTGTATGGGCAGAGGTTTACTATTATAACAGACCATAAGCCTTTACTGGGTCTGTTCACCAGGAATACTCCCACTCCTCAAATTATTTCCCCCTGCATGCTCAAGTGGTCCATTATGCTGAATGCCTATGATTGTGAGTTCAAGTATCTTCCTGGCAAGGATATCACACATGCTGCTGGGTTAAGCCAGCAACCCTTGCCTTCTCCTGACTTCCTTGTTCCTCCTATGTCTGAGATTCTCATGTTGGAATCTATTCCAAACCCTCCGTTACATGCAAGTGACATTGCTTGTATGTCTGCCAAGGGTCCTTTGCTGATCGTGTGCTCAACTGGGTTTGGATGGGGGTGGCCAAAATCAAAAGTGGAAGACAAGTTCAAACCATTTGTAGTGTGCCAACATGAACTATCTGCCTATAAAGGGTGCCTATTATGGGGAAACAGAGTGGTAATTCCAAATGCAAAACAAGCTTGAGTATTGCATGCTCTCTATGAGGGACATCCTGGAATAGTTTGCATGAAAGCTTTAGCCAGAAGTTATGTTTGGTGGCCTAAAATGGATGATGTTATTGAGAGTTGGGTAAAGAAATTGTGTAAGAATGTCAATCTACTCGTCATGCTCTACCTAAAGCCTCATTATATCCATGGGAGGTGACTAGGTCCCATTTACATATAGATTTTGCTGGCCCGTTTCATGGACAGATTTTTCTTTAGTTGTTGACTCCTTTTCAAAATGGTAAGAAGTTGTTTCAGTTATATATGCTACCTCAGTCACAGTCAAAGATTCTAAAGAGGCTTTTTGCTACTCATGGGTTGCCTGATACAATTGTGTCCGATAATGGAACACAATTTACCTCATCAGAATTCAAAACTTTCATGGCACATAAACTTATTCGACACCAAAGACTCATTAAAGAAAATTATTGAAGGAGATTGGAATCGTAGACTTGCAAATTTCCTTCTGCAACAACATGTAAGACCATGCTCAAGCACTATAAACCGGCATCTTAAAACTTGTCTGGATTGTTTACATCCTGATTTGACATCTGAGTTACAGGAGAGGCAAGAATTGCAATTCAGGAGGCGGGGCCTTACTGCCATGGAGGGAAGACGTGCCTCACTAGAGCTTCCTACAAAAATGGGAAAAATGGCTAAAAAGGCACTCTTTGACTCACCACACGAGACCCCAAGTGACTTACCACCTCCAAGTCCACACGGTGAACCGGTAAAGCGGCCCATGAGTGGACGATGGACAACAGATTACACCCGCGAAGGGATGCGGCACGGCATGTGCCAGGTGGGAGAGGCGGCCAACGTCCCAACCTGGGGCCATCTGGAGACTAAAAGACACAAATGGGCACCCCGCAACCCCCCCTTGGACCAGTGGGGGTGATCCCGGTCCACCCCAGGTGGTTCCCCCCTACATAGAGCTAATGGCGGAGAGAATGGCCGGAGAGAAGAGATGCACACCTAAAATGGTGGAGATCATGCGGCCCCCAGGCAACCACGAGGCCCAGCTCGTCTCCGGGTCCAACCTGGACCGCATATTCATGGACTTTTGGCTTAAACTCAAGCAAATACTGCAACAAAGCGACTCTCGCCCACCCAGCTCAAGCCACCCACCTCGACAGCCGCCACCTGACCCTCAGCAATGGAAAGCTGCACCGGGGGGACATAAAACCAAAAAATGGCAGCGGAGTAGTAGGCGTGTACCTCACCCATGCAGAGAAATAACGCGAAGGCCACCGCAGAAGTCAAGCATAGGCCCGCTCCGGGCACCCGCAGCCACAGGGATGACCCCACAAGAGCACCAAGGTACCAACCGTCCCCACCCACTCCCAACCACTTACCGCACCCAGTGGGAGATCCATGGGCACCCACAGCAGGGAACAGCACAGCCCCAACGAGGCATCGGTTGAGCCAGCAAGGACGTGCCGAAAGCAGAGTTCGCGACCGGGAGACCGAATAGGTCACATGGCGTCGCACTGAAATCTGAGGAAATCGATCTTCCAAAAAAAAGCCCGGCCAGAGAGGGACTCATTCCTGGGAGACTTTACTGTATTATCGTGCTCCACACTAGACATACGCAAGTTTGATCTGCTTACTACATTTTTTTTTTTTTATCATTCTTTTTACCAATGTATCTCCTTAGCTTAAGCAGCAGTCAGCAAGCACATGATTAAGCAGCCGGAGATAGACCAGTTGCATGCTCCACTCGAATTTATGTTACTTAAAATATACCAATCATACTTTTCATAGCATAACTGTACCAATACTTCAGAGATTTTACCACGTTTGTCCAACATGACTCTTCAGTTATAACTATCGATAACAGTCTGTTCTTTTCAATCTTTGTGTTTTTATGTGTTCTCATTTGACTTGCCTATTGCACTGCTGTAGCCTACATGTGACTACCTAACCAAGCGACATTCATATTATTCAAGGAGACACATCAGCAATATTTAACCACCTATGTTATTACTAGAATAGAATGCACACTGACATAGCCTGTTTGTGTTATTAATCTTCCCCTCAAGTCAATGATATACTGATCTAACTACCTAAGCCTTAATATACTAAAAATATTGTGCCTGTTTATCATATGCCCCGCATGTTCGGCGAGGGGAACGCCTGAGGACTGCTTTTGGGGCACCTCAAGCCTGCTTGTAACAATTATATGCACTGCAAAAAAAATTTAATAAATAAAGAAAGAATTGCAATTCAATAAGAACTATAATAATTCTACTGTGAGAGTGTTTGCACCTGTCAGTGCTGTCTATGTCAGAAAATATGTTTCTGGGCCTAAATGGATACCCGTAAAAGTAATTGTGGCCACAGGACCTTTGTCTTACAAAGTACAAATTCCTAATGGTAGAATATTACGAAGACATGTCGATCAGATCCAGGAACGGAGTGATGAGATTGTGTCTGCTGCCGGTTCCAGTCATATCGACTTTTCTGAAATTCAGTATGATGGTGAATCTCTGGATGATACAGAGGTCAGTTCTCCAGGAGTTGTTGTTGTAGAACCAGTTCCTTGTGAGTCATCTGACAGAGCACAGGAAGAAGGGATGGGAACAACTGAAGGTTCAGGTGAAGCAGCTCCAAACTTTGCCCTTAGGATTCCAAGAAGAAATATTCACCCTCCTAGTTATTGCAAAGACTTAAAGGGTCTAGGGGGAAGGAGTGTTCTGTATTGGGGTGTTATGCAGTCCACCTTCCAGTAGATGGCAGCATAGTGAATTTATGCACTTGCTTCCTGTTTGTGTTATTGTTTCTGTTATACTTTTACTGTTGTGTGTGTGCTGAAGTAAAGGAGAAGTCCTATTTTCATTACTTGTCTGCGAGCCACTTTATAAATATATACAATAAAATACACAAAATTATCTTCTTTTTTTACTGTATCTGTTAGTGTACCAAAAGAAGAATCATTTATTTAACCCTTTCAACTCTGTTTAAAACTTGTTTTATACCATGATGAGACCGAGTTAAGAGAAGTTAGTGTTCGGTAGGATTTGAAAAATAATATGGCAAAATACTTCCCCTAACTTTGCCATCTCCGAAATATTCCCACTTGCAGCAACAACCAGCATTTCAGTTTATGAGACCTTTAATGATTGAAACCTTTTTATGTTTGAAAATATGGCTACTCAAAAAAAAGTTTTTTCAAAATGCATGAGTCACAGTCAGGGGAGGTGTGACTATTGCTGCATAAACAAAGTTCCAATAAGATGAATTCCATGTGACCCAATAATAAGGATACCCAACACCCATTGCTGTCTTAACAACTATAATAACAACGCTTCAATATACACAACTTCCACATGTCTGTTGGACATGCCAATTTTTATTGTCTAGAATCCAGCATCTATGAATCTGTTCAAGGACTCAACTGAGTCAATTGGGAACTTGTGACTACAGTAGGAAACTTGGTGGTTAGTGCTCCAGCTGGGACTCTGGAGTGGTTTTTCAGTAGTTAATATGGCAAGACGTATGGGATAAATAAAGAATGATGCCATCTTGTAATGCCCCTAAATGATGAGTGCTCGTGGACCGTGAAATACAGTCAATGGCTTTTCCAGATTGTGATGGAGGTCTAGGATCTGGGAGTACTGTTCTTTTAGAACAATCATAGAGCCCCCATGTACATTCTGTCTGTGTTTTTTGTTGATGAAGCATCTATATAGATGTAAATTGCATTCAGGATCCCTCTAGAATCTTTTTCTTTCCCCTCTTCTATCCCATGCGAGGATATTTTAAGTCTTGGAAATTTTGTCAACTTTGCATTATACTCTGGTGGATTTATATTGTAACTGTACTAATCCTATTAAACTGGCACAGCAAGGAATGCTTATTTTATTTCTTAATGCATCTACCGGAGTGTGAATACTTTCTATCTTCTATTTGATGTGTTTTTGAAGTATTCTGTTAACACAGTTGTTCTTTGTGATTTGTGGGTAACTAATTTCAAAGACTTTCAAAGTGCTCTTCAACATAGCAGAACAAGTGTTGTTTTTCTTAGTTTGTTTGTTTTGTTTTTTCCCACTAAAGTGCATTGGTGCAGTTAAGAGAAACAGACACAAGTTCTATTTTAATTTGAATTTAATTGCACTTTTGTTTACATCTTTGGTGAATGTAAATGGCAATGACTTGGGAAAGCGTCCTTGGCATTTAATGACTTTCTAGATTACTCCCCAGACATACAAAGCTGGAGAGTCAATGTTATAGCAATATACGGTATGTGTGAGCCTCACCAGACATTTTATCTTTGTGATAAAACATAAATCGAGACTAAACTGCTTTCTTGCCCATAGGAAGAAGACATGAGAATCATTTAACTAGTAGTTAAAAAATATAGCATAGAGTACTTTTAATAGTTCAACCATATGCCACGCAGCACATCATTTAACTGGTCCTACAGAAAACGTGTTCCTTATCCACCTGAGAAACTATATTGCTTCTAACTGTATACCACATTAAAGTAACTATATATATGTAGATCTGTAAATAACCAACATTTTAATGGTAGTCTATTTTCTTATGATGGTAAAATGGGAAAACAATTTCATAAATCTTTACACTATAACAAGAAAGATATAAAAATATATATTTTTTATGAATAAGAGAATGAGGTTTAGGAATCAGTAGATTGTATCTATACTATACTCTCCAGATACTGATACTAAGAATGGAAATCTGACCATAAAAACAAAAAAAATTCTTCTCATTTCCCCATTAAAATTCCAAATGTACGTATTTATATTTATTTATTGTGCTCCAACATTGTTTTTACATCGTTTTTACTTTTTTTTTTTACTGGTAAAACATTTTCTGCACAATAAATTAAAGTGGTCTTTAAAGAGAAACTTGGTTAATCAAATCAAGTGTGTAAATTAAACTGTAACGACATGAAAACACACCTCTTATTTTTGTAAAAATCACAAAAAACATTTTAAAGGAGCTGTCTAGGCATTATATCTATTGCTACCTACTGTAGAAGTTACGATGTCAGAAGTGCCCTGTCATGTTTGCATGGGAGATAGTCAAGCCATTTTACATGTACTTTGGTACCCTGGGCTCCTCTGGTCCAGCCTCTGTAGTGATATATCTAAAGTGTTTGGTTCCATTCCACAAAAGATATATCAATTTCTTCCATAACTGGATAGGGTTAATTGGCTGAGAACATCAGCCTATGTATTTATATCCAAACAAGGGTAGAATTTACATCACTAATGCAGAAGTAGAACGTTCTGTATTAGTGCTATCACAAAATAAAACCAGAGCACAGGCATCTGGGGAACCTTGGTGTGAAAGCATTAGAAAACAGATTGACTACTGAAAATGATTGCAGAATGAGGTCCCAGTATTATGAAATATTTTCTTCTTGTTTTGCACTTGAATACTTGCCATTCATGTGAACATCGCAATTCTCACATGGTGAAGTTGGCAGAGCACTTTGTTTACCTTAACCAATAAAGCAGTCTGTAGTGGTTCTGGTACCTAAATTCCCCATTTAAATAAGAATGTTATTGTATTCAGTGTATTTCAAATAGCTTAACATTTGTGGAAACCTCAAGAATGCACTAACATTTTAGAATACAGAAAAAGTACAAAACAGAACCTTTCCATACTAAGCTAAAATAAATATAAAACAATTAAAATGTCAATTTTTTTCATTTTTATATCCAGTTAAATAAATCAAGCATCAATACTTAGCTTAACAATTCCTGCGAGGGCTGCCTTTAAGAGATAGACAAACAGATAGATTGTTATTAGTTGCTGCAATGAAAGAAGACTGCATGCAGCAGCAATCTCTCAGCTGATTATCTGAGGTCATGTGCCAAAAAGTGCTTCCATTTCCGCAGCTGGGATCAGGGGAAGAAAAAGCTGCGTAGGCAACGTTTTCTCAAAATTCACAGAAGCCAGCATTTTTCACATTTATCAAAAGCACACCTTGTGTTCTCATAATTTCAAGGGCATCTTTAAAAAAAATGTTTCTTTATGAAAGAATCAAAACAGTTATTTTTAAACCTTGGTGACTCTTTAAGTACAGACTTTGATGTGACCATGGATATCATGTATGAATAAATATAATGCACGGATATAATTTTCAGAACATTGCTCAGTTGGATGCTGTATAAAACATACTGAAAAAAAGGATCTAATTTCAAAGTAACTGCTGATTTTATGTAAATTAATACTCCT